GCCCCTCGCGCGCACACACACACACTCTCTCTCTTTCTCTCTCTCTCTCTCTCTCTGTCTCTCTCTCTCTCTCTCTCTCTCTCTCTCTCTCTCTCTCTTCACTTCCCTTCAAGGTCCAGCTAAGCCCGAAAGGCGCCGGCCTGTTATTGGGGCTTTGGTTTTGGCAGCGTGAGAAAAGCACCCAGGACGTCTCGGGAAAGCTTTTCTTTCATCAGGGCTGTGGGCAGAGGTTGCCCTCNNTGCCCGCGCGCATCAAGCGCCCCCGTTTGTTACGGGGCGAGGAGTAGGATTAGGTGCACGCGCCACCAAGGCATCTCTGGCATCAGACCTTCTCTCAACCAAACAACAGCTCAAAGGTACAGGGGCTGCCCCCCTACAAGTACAGGTCGGGAAAGCTCTCTCTCTCTCTCTCTCGCTGTTCTCGCCGAGAAACTGCGCTTGCTCAGCAGCCACGTGCAAAGGCGTGGCCCCCTGCGCATTGATGGGATCCACCTCCCGGCGATGTGTTTTTGCGGTTAGGCTTCAACTCCGGGGGCCAGTTCGATCCGGATACCTCCAAAACCCTCGGGTGACCTTACGTGTGCGGTATCCCACGGTTCAGGGTTCAAAGGATTTCATAGGCGTGAACCCTCCAAAGAGGTGTTCTTCAGTTTCAGAGCTCAGAGTTGGGCGCTGTTGTCGCAAGGTTGGCGAGGACTTCCGCATCTTTTGAAGCCCGGTCCCAAAGTGCCCCAAGCCATTCAACGCAAACCAAACAGCAACTGCTCTCGTATGGAAGCAGTTCCACAAGGCTGGGCTATTTCCACAGGCAGACCTTTTTTGGGCTGTCTAGCATTCGCTCTAGCCGCAGGTACTCCGACAATGCAGGATCACAAACTCTTCGATGTTCGCTGGACTTTGTCCCTCTGTAGGCCGAAGGCTTGCGACGGTCTCCTCTGCGGTGGCACAACTTGCATTCGCGCCCCCCGGGGAGGTGATGCAGCTTCATCATCATCTTCATCATCCTCATCATCATCATCACACGAGATGTACAGCACTTTTGACAGGAACCCTTGAAGCATTGGCTATAAGCAGCGCGGAGGCTTTGGCTGTGCTGCCTGTCTTCGGCTTGGGTGGACTTGTACGCGCCTTAGGCGGACTTGTCGTCTTCGGTTTGGGTAGTCCCGGCTGTAGTGTGATGAAGGCCACCTTGGCTTTGACCGCTTTGGCAGGGATAAAGCTCCCTTTGCCGCTTTTGCCAGGTCCGCATGCAGATGCAGGGGCTGCACCTGGTTGCGAATGCCGCACATGTGTAATCAGTAAGTCCACCAACCAGCATGTCGCCATGGCTCTGTCATGGCTGTCACGGCCTGGGCTGCTTCCCTCGGCAAGCCAGCAGCTGCAAAGTTGGCGACGTACATTTCGAAAGCACAGACTCAGCAAAGCTTGGTGGCAAAATAATATCGCAGTCCAGATTGACAAGCACGTGCCCACTGAGGTCGCCGTCCTCAGGGTCTATGCACTCCATGCCAAACCGATGCGAGGTGTTCTTTGCAATGCTCGCGTGGAAGTTACCGTCGGTCTGACGAATATCGGCGAAACATAGCCTCACATCCAGCTCTTCTGTACCCTGCATGCCAAGGACACTGGAGAGCCTTTGCAGGCACTGTTGCTCCAAACCATCTTCCGCGAGAACAATGAGATCGGGGGAAATCTGGACAGCAGAAACTCCATCGTGCAGGAAATGCTCGCGATGGACTCAGGAGAACTCACAAAGACGGAGAGCAACACCAGATCAAGACTGCGTACAAATACCTTTCCATCCATTGCCGGATGGCCACCATGGCTTCTGCCAGGGCCAGTTGTGCCATGGCTCCGTCCATGGCTCCGACGGCTTCAGAGACCTGCCTCGTGGAGGCTCGGCCGGCTCTGGCACTCGAGCTCTTCGAGGGGGCTCCGCGGGTTCGGGCACGGATCCAAGAGCTCGAGGAGGCTCTGCTGGCTCAGGCACCGATGGCTTCGGCTTCGGCCTTGCCTTCTGCTTGGCAAAAGGCTTGGACTCGGAGACGCGTTTCTTGGGCATGGCCTTCTGCTTCGGACGAGGGCGAGGCTTGGGCATGGCCTTCTGTCTCGGAATCCGAGCCGAACTCGGAGCTCCGGACTCCGGAGCTTCGGACTCCGAAGGCTCTACTGGCAGCAGCGGCTCTTGGAAGCTTTCGATCGTCGGGAGGTCGCTGATGTCCACCGGCCCCGGCTCCAAAGCATCCTTGGGCCTCGCTTCGAAAGAAGGCTTCCACTGGCTCCAGCCCTCGACATGTTGCTCCGGCGGCGAGTCGATCTTGATCCGCACCGCTTTGAGGCGGACCTGGTCGGGTTGTAAGATCCACTGGCTCCCGGTGCTGCCATGTCTCCGCTTCCTGCGCTTTCCTGGCTGCACCCAAAGCTCATAGACGAGGCGATGGTAGAGCCCGTCTGGGAAGGGCTTCCCTGGACGGGCATACTTCTCGGCCACTTTGAGACTCGGCGAGCAGAAGACGCCGCAGACACTGTTGAAGTCGTGTCCGAGCTCCTTGTCTTCGGACGCAAGGACCACGCCGGAAGCTGCCACCAGCCAGAGGGAGTACCACCAACTGCCCTGGTAGGCCGTTTCCCACGTGGAGAAGCAAACATCTTGGGACGTTGGTCTGTAAAGGTAACGGTGCCAAAGGTCGCGTCGTCCTCCTCCAAGATCCTGGTCCACCGTGTCAACGTAATCCAAGCAGTCAAGTCCACGTGCCTTCTGCCATCGGTAAAACTCTGGTTGGACAAGCTTGTTGAAGACTTCCATGGCAAGCCTTGCACGGGCATCAGAGCTGAGGTCAGCATGCAAAATCTCCGGAAATGGCGGCAACAGACGGCGCTTCTTGCAGGACTTGTTCTGGTCCTTCTGATCTTTTTCTTCCTTCCGCCAGAGCTTTACCAGGGATCCCCGACATTCTGCTGCTTCGCGCAAGGCATCCGAGTGGTGGCAGAGGGTTGTGGGAGACTCTTCCATCGCCTTGCGTCTGGATGTGCATACCGAGCCGACATACAGCGGGAACGAAGAGGAGGCCGCAGGACGCAATCTCCTAACTCTCCGTCCTGCCGCAGCACTAATTAAGAGTCATGGCTGCACCTCCCGCCTCCACACCGTAGCCCATAAAGAAGCTGATGAGCTCCACATCTCCGAGACCAGCTGCAGCATGCAGGACCGAGTCCTTCATTGCGTAACCGGAAAACTCCCTCCCCCGGGTCCTTCTCTTCGGCTCTCCTGTGTCTCGGGGTGTGCGGCCGAGCAGAAGTCGATGCCATGTGCCGCCATGCACTGGATCATGGCCTAATTTCCCATTTTTTTTGTCAGATGGCGGCTCATCACAAAGCCAGTCTGAGAAGCTGACAGCGTCCCGGCGGCCCACGGCATCCAACAAGCGCGCCCCATCCGTCCACTGCTCCACGTGGCTCTCCTGAAAAAAGGGGGCCCCGTTTTTAGACTGCGTCCTCCTACGTAAGGGCAAATGGGTATCGTAAGGGCATATTATCGCTTCCGATCCCAGACTCAGGCACAACGAAACAGCGGAGCTTCTCCTTGTCTCGGACTGCGATCACTTCGTCACAAGCTGGGCACCTGTAGTTGTTGCCTGAGAAGGAAGCGACACACCGGCAGTGCACCTATCGAAGTCGGACAGGGTGAGCTGGGTCCCTAGCGGTAGCAGAAGACGCTGTGCGACACCAAGTTGGCGGTTGGAATCTCTCGACCGCAGTTGCCGCAGACAGACGTCCCTGCAACTGTCGAGGCTGCAAGGAGACAGTCAGTCTCAAAAAGAGTGGATCCGCTCGCCTGATTCCTTTGCTCCATCTTGTTCCTGTGTAGCAGAGGCTAGGATCGTGCGAGAGCCAGGCATTAGAGGATCCCCTTGGAGCCTTGTTGTCCAAGTCGAGCACTTCAGGAGCCCCTAAGGAGGAGGAGAGGAGGTCACAAAGCTACTCTTGAAGAGGCGCCGCTCCGGGTTGCCTCCCCGGACGGGCAAGCAGTGCTTCCCCCGTGCCTGACGAGCGGTCGGAACGAGATGAGAAAAAGAGTGAGCATCACCTGCTCTGCTGTTTTAACTGCTTCACTGCTCGTCACGCTCTTCACAAGGCCTGCTCTTTGGGCACAAAAGACTACAAAAGAAGAAGCTCCCGGAGACCGGAGTCCGGAGTCAAGAGTTTCGGAAGCTCTGCGCTGCTGCACGTCTCTGCTACTTCGCACGATAGAAGGGAGATGCCTTGATGGCATCGATGAAAGCAGGGCCTTCCTGCGCCTGAACTTTTGCCTTGAGGGTTTCTGGTGTGTCGCCAGGCTCCACGACCACCTTCCGTTGCACCACCACGGGTCCACCGTCCACCTCCTCCGTGACCAGATGCACAGTGCAGCCGCTCTCCGTCTCCTTGGCATCGATCACGGCCTTGTGCACCTCCAGGTCCATGCCACCGGCGTGCTTTGGGAGGAGGCTTGGGTGGATATTGATGCAGCGGCCCTCCCATTCCCTGCAGAACTCCGGGCTCACAATGCGCATGAAACCACACAGCATCACCAGCTCCACGCCCTCCTCACGCAGGGCCGCTGTCACTGTGGCATCATACTCGGCCCGCGGCGTCCCCTTCTTGCAGGGAACGTGGACGGCCTTCACGCCTTCCGTTCGACCCCGCTCCAGGATGCCCGCATCTCCCTTGTTGGAGATCACCACCACTATCTTCGCGTTCAGCTCGCCGCTCTTGATGGAATCGAAGGTCAGCTGGGAGGACGAGCCGCGAGTCGAGCCAATGAGACCGATTCGAAGGGGTGCCGACTCCGCCATTGGGGCGAAACAAACAGCCTAAACAGCCTACAGCCTAAAAGCGGAAACCCCCTGTGAGACCTCCTCAAGTCTAGGTAGGAGAAAGCTCTGAAACATGCTTGCCAGCCTCCGTGAAATGACAGCATCAGCCCTCACCTACCTTGAGCCATTTGGACCAGGGTAGTTGCTCGATTCATTTAGGCATGCTTCCGACTCACGCATATTGGCTGCGCTGGTGCTACACAGGGTCAGCGGATATGTTCATCTCAGCCTCGATCCTGTCGATGACCGCTGCCGTTTGAGGACGGCTTTGTGCATCATTTGATTCAAGCTCCTCCGAAGCATCTGCTGCACTAACCGTTGTCTGCGTCACGATTTAAAAGGAGTCCTTTATTCTGTTGAGCAGAATCTGTGTGGTAGACCGAAAATTATCCACCATGTCATCTTTTTCGTTCTGAAGGGCCTGAACCTCAACGCGGCTACAAGTCTGGTCATACGGCCTGTACCAGTGCTGGGGCGGTGGCCTTGCTGCGGAGGCGGCGCACTTCCGCTTTTAGCAAGTTCAGCTGATTGCTCACTTGCGTGTCGAGGAGTGACCTGCACTTCGCACATAGCAGCGCGAATGTCAAGCGCAACGAAACACCTGCATCAGCATCTTGAACCTTTGCGGCGCCTTGCCAAGACATCGCCATGTAGCGATTCCAACACTCCATGATCCTCGTCCTTCAGCGAAAACGGCCAGGCCAGTGTGATGATGTGAATGTCGTCTGCCTCGTCGTCCTCGTCAGCCTCATCACTGAGTTCCTCGAGTGCCGTATGCTTTGGAGAAGCTCAGAGTACCAGATGACCAGCTAAAAACAGCTCCTCGTACATCAACTACAGCGCGACAGGGGGAGCGGCGGCAGCTCTTCCATGGCGGCACGCACGGTGGCGCATGGCGACGCTGCCGATCTTCTTCCAACGAGACAATCATCTGAGAGGTTGCATAAAACGAACGGTGCGGCCTGACTGGAATGATAGCAAGCAAAGGATGGGACTAGACAGAGTTCTCTCACAAATATTCAACATCAGCTCGGGCAAAACAGGTTCGGAGTGCCACGGGCCTTTCCCTTGCTGAGGTCCGGGCTGGGGCTGGGGCGCGCACAAGCCATCTCTGACAGTGGATCCTGGTCAGACTGCTGACATAGGCGCGCCCGCGCGCCCGCGCGCGCCTTTTACGTCTTTTGAGGCTTTAGTCGGCCGTGGCCCAGGCCAGCTGTTCGGATGCAAGGAGAGCTGTGCTCAGTGCAGCGACGTCCCAGGCCAGGCCCTGCCCGAAGCAAAGAGCCCCGTGACCCGGCAGGATCCCGTCATCGAACTCAGGCCTGATGCCGCATTTCCTCCAGGACGCACGGCACGAACCTGCCATGGGAAATCCGCAGAGTGGGTCATTAGCAGCGTGGATGTTTGAGCCTTTCTCTGCCGGCTTTCTGGCAAGCACTGGCCACTGCCGTAAAGGTCTGCCTCAACTGGGTTCAGCTGCATATTGTGCGCTAGCAATGAGTCATAATCAACGCTAAACGCCCGGCTCGTTGCACAGCAGTCGGTCCTCACTGCAATCAGGAGGGTTCACACTCCGGTTTCCTAAAGCCACGGAGCCTGGTTCAGCTCCACAGAGGGATGCACACCTCTCTTTTCGCCTACGCTCAAGGGCCCTGATGCCGACGGTAAGTCAGGTGCTGGCAGGCATGAAACTGCATACAATTGCACTCACGACATGTCGCTGTCTTGTGCTGCAGAGACTTTGAGCACCTACATGTGACATCAACGACGACCACAGACAGATCAAGAAGACCTCAAGAAGAAACCAGAATTATCAGGAGTCCAAGCGGGCGACTTGTCCAATTCAGACCTCTCACCAGCTGCCACACCTGATCACGACAGTCCTCCTGCATTCGTGAAATCGCAGCGATCGAAGCGGACCATCGCAAACCTGTCGGCGCCCCAGGGCAACAAGCTTAGATTCCATCCCTCGCGATCCAACAGAGCACCAGGAGATCTTGCAAAGTTGTGCCTTGCTCAAAGGCAGTGACCACGGCCGTCACAGAGATCTTCGCACGGAAACAAGCGAACCCGTCTCCAGCCGTGAAAGAAAGCTGTGCTGCAGGCCACGTCGGCTTGAAGTCCTCGCTGCTGCAGGCTCTGCAATGCCTGCACTTCGCGAAAACCAAGGGTGCTGAGCTCTGCTTTTTGTTTTCGCCTCCCCGCTTGGTTTGCAGCCTCCATTGCTGAGGACCAAGGGGTGCCGGAAAGCAACCTCTGCGACCCAAGACAGGACCCCCCCCCCCCAGATGTCCGCCAGTTCCTATGCCTATGCCGACGAGACGCGCATTCCAAGTGATGAGGTCCGGCAGCGTGCTTTGCGCTGCCAAGGCCTGGAAGCAAGATCCAGTCTCTGGGGACCGGGAGCAGACTTCATGGCTGAGAGATCTACAAAGCCCAGTGTTGCCAAGGCCTGGCACGTGTGAGCTGCAATCGAAGGAGCTAAGAGACGGAGCCCGAGGGCCTGTTGCCACACCGATTCGCAGCCACTAACGACCGCGTTCAGCACGTCCAGGTCGAGGCCTGCGAGCAAAAACTCACGACCGGAGGGAGCCTGGACCGAGCCTTCTTTGACCGAGTCGCCGAGTCCCCACGTCCGACCCCGGTGCAAGAGCTCAAGGACCCAAGCCTTAGACAAGGCTGCAAGGACCGAGACCAAAGACTCTCAGAAAGCCACTGGGCAGGGCCCCCCGACCCAGCGCAGGGCATCACAGGCCGCGATGGCCGAGACGAAGCCACAGAGCTGGTTCTTTCTATCTGGGAGTCCATCGGATTAGTCGAAGACACAAGAGCCGCAAGCCGTTCAGGGCCCAGCACTGCAGCGTAATCTCACCTAACCTCGGCATCTGCGAAGGTGCCCAAAGTCGCTTGGGCTTGACCCGAGCTGTGCACCGTCTTGCTCGGCGAGGACTTAACCTGAGACAACAGCACAAAAAACCGTTTTGAGTCATGCCCGCAGCATGAACACATTTCCGTCACAGTCATGTCGTGGCAACTCCATCTCCCACCCGCGATGAATGAGTTTGAAAAGTCAGCGCTGTCTTCCAGCCCTCTTACTGAGCAACCCGACAGCACCGCGATGGATTCTTCCCACAGAGAGGCCTGAAAAAGAGGTGGTTCTGACGAGGCTTCAGAAAAATGGACTTATCTGCCCGATCTGCCCTTGCATGCCTCGGCGGCAGCAGCGACGGCCGCGCTACGCGCCCCGGAGCCCAGTCCAGGCAAGCCGCGCCTCTCGAGGTAAGCAAGAGGAGACGCGCCGTTCATCGCGCCAGGGAGAGCCTTCTCCCCCAGGCCAGTCGCTCCAGGGAGCTGCTCCAGGCGCCCGGCGCCGCCACCTTGGACTTCTCCCCCCACATGCAAGAGAAGACGGGGGGCAAGTCAGAGGTTCCCAGCAGCGGCCACGAAAGCCACGGAATCGAGGCGGAGCCGCGTGCGGCCGCAGGCCTCGTGGTTTCGACAGGCTCCTCTCTGCTAAGGCCTCGAATCTCACTTGGGCCTGAAGCTGCTGAAGCCCGTGAACCCACGTGTTGGGAGCCTCGGCAACGCGACTCATCGAGATCTGTCAGACGCTGTTCAAGCAGTGAATTCCAAAACGGCAAGCAAAGCAAGTGTTCAGCTCCCCGCTATTTGGGCGGTCAGTACCACGACCTGCATCGCTGCGTTTGAAGCCACTGTCTTACATGTGCGAAAGCCTCGCTTAGACTCCAGCATTTGGCAACAGCATCTTCGTGCTGGCTATTGAGAAGAGTTGCAAAGGCAGTCGCCAGCTTCCTCACAAGGACATCGGACCACAAGGCCGCAGCCGGCGGCAAAATCACGACATCATGAAGCAACGGCAACAACAGCAGCGCTTGTGCATCTTGAGTCTCACGAACCTTGAGATGTTTACTATTTAATATTGAAAAAAGCGACTGGGACAGTGCCAGATTACACTCAGCGACGACACCATGCCGGCGACACTGCGCTTAGACACTGTTTGGTGTCAAAAAAAGCACAGAATCAGATCAGCTGTGAACCGTCACCGGAACTCTACAGTAATTTCAGCACAAAAAATTTCAGACGTGTGACTTTTGCTCTCTCTCTCTACCACTTTGCTTTGCCTTGCTTTGCCTTGCTTTGCTTGGGGCTTGAAGTGCCCGGTATCACCGAACCGAGGTGGGGCGTGTTTGCTCGCAGACAGATTTCAAAACTGGTACGCCAGGGCAAAAAACATGCAAATGTTCGGCCTTGTGAGTCGCTTGAACGATGCAAGCAGACCATTCGGTTGTGACGAATGGAGTTTTGTGCCCCTGTAAACGGTGAATTTACCGGAAAGAATTTCTAGCCGGCATGTGTTCAGGCTCTGTTCGGGTGGTTCGCGGATCCCACGCCGGATGCCCGTTGCCAACAGCCCTGCTGAAAGAAAGAGACGGTGCTTGCCCGCCGCTTCTGTCTGTGAGGAAGAGGGGCCGCAGGGCCCTTTCTTGGCCGTGTGGAAGAGGGAGGAAGAGACAGAGAGAGAGAGAGAGAGAGAGAGAGAGAGAGAGAGAGAGAGAGAAAGAGAGAGAGCGAGAGCTCAAGTGTCCGCACCTCGTTGGAAGTCAGCTAGCAATGGTTTGCCGGCAACCCATGCATAAGCACCGTCGCTGCCGTCGCTCCCCCTCTCCTTCCTCAGCCTTCCTCCCGCCCGTGCTGAATGTTGCTGGCTCAGCGCTTCGATCCCCGACGCTGAGGGATGGCGAAAGCGAGCGACTGGCTGTGGAAGCGATCTTTCTGTGACTTTTCCCACGCCTCGGCCGCGGCCAGCGGCGGTGAGCGCTGCGCTGCAGGCGACGGCATCCTCGAAGGCGCCTCCGCGCTCGCGCAGGAGCCTAAGCCGGCTCTCGAGAGCCCTTCGCGGAGCCGCTCATCGCCGCTCATCGCCGCTCCGCCGCTCCGCGTGTGCTGGGGCCGGCGCAGCAACGATCCCTGCCATCTCTCGCCGGTTTTCAAAGCAACGGTGGTGCCTGCCAGAGCACCGCACCGCGCCGAGACTGGGACGCACCGGGCTGCACGGCTGCATTCTGAGTGACCAGGCGCGACACAGCGTTCGGGAGCAAGGCAAGACCGGCCAGGAGCGAGAAGAGCTCCAGCGCCTGCTTGCTGGGTAGCCGAGTGGAGCGCATGACCCTCCGCCGCAGGAGTCGCTTCCAAAAGGACGGCCTGCAGCCAGCGAGCTGCCTTGCTCAGGCCTAAAAGTGCCGAGTTGAAGCTGACCAAGTCCAGCTGGAGTTGGGACCTCAGATCCCGCCGCGTGTGGTTCACAGATAACGAAGGCATCCACTTTGGGGCCACAGCCGGAGCTGAAGCAGCACGAGCTGCCATCGACCATCTTTGGCGAGTCCCCCGAGCATCTGAGCACATGCAGCCCGCCAGCCCGCCATCTGCCTCAGAGGGCACCGTCTGAGCCTTGTTGACGTCGAGCAGGCTCGCCTGACCAGAGAGAGCTGGGCATGCGGAACAGCGCCCCCCGCGCCGCCGCGCCGCGCCGCGCCTGAGTCCGCATGCTGCGTTGGACCTCCAGGGCAACCGGCGAAGGCCGGCGGAGGCCGCGGCTGGGGCATGCAGCTGGGTCTAGAGAGAGCCACGTGCCTCCAAAGCAGCAGATTGCCATGCAGGCCATGTCCTTCTGGGGCTGCGTCGGGCACTTCCAAGTCCCTGGGGCGAGGATGGCATTTGGCTTGAGCTTCGCAGCTCTTCGCAGCATGTTGCGGCGCCTTTTCCGGGCCAATGCTCATGGGTGCACCCCATAGCAGGGCTCCGATGTTGGCGGGCTCTACCTGCCTTGCTACTGCGACTCCTCAAGGCTGAAACGGAATGGGCAGAGCCATGCAAAAGCCGCCAGGCATGATGCATACAATGCATACATGCCAATACATGCACACAACGTCCAACCCAGCTCTCTGCACAATTCTCTCCGGGCACGCACTGGCCTCCGCTGCCGAACTTGGCTCTGCTAGAAATTCAAGCTCTTGTGCTCTACAGCAATCTGCCTACTTTGCGTAGTTGCAGGCTTCGGTCTGTCCGCTGATGCAGTGTTGTTTCTGCCGGCAGTGTGTGCACATGGCGGGGAAAAATGCATGATCGGGCTCGCTTCTGCACCTCGGAGATCGCCTGAAAAGGGAGGCAAAGCCGGAAGACACGCAGACATATTCCGAGTGGCGCCTCACATGCGGAGCAGATACCAGAGAGAGAACAAGATGAACAGCGTGAGGGCCATCCTGAGAGGGCAAAATGGGCAAGAGTAGGAGTGGCCGCCTCCACAAAACAGAGGACATGTGCCCTTTTGGCATCTGACCCCCCGTAGACCAGCCACTTGTCCCCGGTCTGTCTTCGGTCAATTACATTCACAAGGCTCTGCGACACCTGTGGCAGCTGCAGCGTGCAAGCACTGTGTTCTTTGTTGTCGGTCACTCTCAGAAGAACGTGTGAGCTGGTGGAGGCTGCGTGCCCCGATGCTGTTCGCAGCGTCCAGGAGCTTCCGCCGCGCATTCTTCAGAACCTTGTTCTGGTTCACCTCGAAGTTCCTACAACTAGGAGCCAAAGAGAGCTGCCCCCCGGGAATTTCTGAAGCCATCTCTGGGATCCTGACGAGGTTTCCGAAGATGGAGCCTGCCTGCTCCAAGACTTCGTCAAGGGCGGCGGCGGAGTCTCGGAGAGACCGATTCTCCCGCACCAAGCCCTGCAGACAGATATATAGCATATAGCATATATCACAGAGGCACATGGGCCATTTCGTGAAAGAAACATCTCTTCCTGGGCCTGTGTCTCATCGTCAGGGCCATCTTTCTTCTTTCTGTCACCAAGGAGCTTCTTGCGGTTCTCCTCTTCTCTCTTGACCTTCCAAGCTAAAGGGGTCAAGGCGTCGTCACGAGTTGGTGCCACGAGAAGCTCAGACGCCGGCTCGGTAAAAGGCTCCCAGCTGCTTGTCCACGGCATTCTGGATGACCGACCTCACTGACATCCGGGGAAACTGCGGCAAGATCTGGCAGTTCAGCATTCCTTGAGCTGGGTATGGCACACGTCCTCCTCCAGGCGAGTAGTCTTTCTGTCCCAGGCCGCGCGCCCTTTTTCAGGCATCGCGTCCACCTGAATGACAACGAGGGCCGAAATCCCAGGTCGTGAAAGCGCCTCGCCTCTTCTCGGACTCTCTGAGTCGTGTTGGTTAAATCTGCAAAAAGCGCTGCCAGACCTGAGAGATTTGACAGACGCAGACATGGCCCAAAGCAGACAAAAGGCCTAAGGTTGAGCTCCCTGCGCTGCTGCATGGCAACATCGGAGCCCGCCTGAACAGAATCGAAATCCCATCTGCACCACATCTCTCATCTGTCAGAGCCCATGCTCTTGGAAGCTTCGACCTTGTTGGCAGCAAAGCCTTCCAGAGTGGAGTCAACATCCCTTTTGAGCCTTGCAGCTGTATCTGTCGCTGATGCTGTTCGACTCCACACTCTGTGTTACTCGGGTCCTGACGTCTCGGCTTTGCGGAGCAGCGAGCTCACATCACCCGTGGCCTCACAAAAAGAGACGCGATTCTGCGTGGGAAACCAAAAAGGGTGTTGAAAAACCCTGTTTCAAGCCTGCCTCCATGCCGACACAAGGCTCAACCAAGACGATGATTCCTTCTGAAACTCTCCCGGGCTTGAGAATCTATGCTGGTGCTGGAGGTGCTGGATTCCACCATGCCATGCCTCTGAGCTACGATAAACCCATCACTGATCCATGAAATCCTCTCTGTCCCACGGCCAGAACGAGCTGCAGCATGCCACACAAGACACAACTTTCAGCAGAACTGGATCAGCTACAAAAGCGATTGCAGGGAAGCAGGTGGGTCCCGTACCTTTGCCATTGCATGGCCTGCACTGTGTCCACGAGCCTCGACTGGAAGCTGTGGTGGAATCTGTGGCGGGGCCGGGGACGGACGCCCGTGCTTTGCAACCGGCGTCTGATGCAAGTGACTGCTCTGGGCTGTGTGGCCGTGAAACTGCATAGGTGCGGCATGCTGAGAGAAGTTCTGTGTCGGTGCATGGGGGTGTCCTGCCTTCGCAGCGCATGATGCTGCAGTGCTATGCGTGGCATGCACTGGAGGCACTTGTGCCGGCTGCATGTCATTTGGCTCGTGATGCCCGTTTTGTGGGGGAGCCGACTGCAGCGGGTGGGTTGGCTGCAGCTTGTCCAGATGCTGCAGCAGTTCCTGGGGATGCCTCAGCTTTCAGCTCTTGGCAACGCTCAGACCTCTAAAGAATGAGAGCTGCGACATGTTTCCCAAGCTTGGAGCATCCGAATGGTGCCTGGCTCGGACGGCAGAGCCTGCAAAGGAACGATCCAACATCTTCGATGCTCATGCACCGGAAACAGCCTGCAAGGCCATTTGATGGCCCCCAACATCTGGAACACGCGGGCCCTGCATTCGATCTTGTTACCACTGCTGCATAGAATCAAAAAACAGCTAATCCTGTCCTCCGCTTGACCGAGCTTTGAATACAATCCTACCTGCGCTGCACCAACCAATGTTTTGTGCCAAGACCAGCATGCCAAAAAGTTGCAGCATTTCGCACAAGAACTGATCAAATGGTTCAAACCATGTCACCGGCAATGACTTCGTGGCATGGATGGCATCGGAAATACCAGCCCTGAAGCCGGATAAGTCTCTGGAATGAACTGGAAACTAAGTCAAGCAACTCAGCTCACCACGACCCAGGTCGAGGCGGCAAGTGCATGCTCTGAGCCATGGTTGCGCGAGTGGCCGAAGTTGGGCTGCCGCATGTACTTGCTTGGACATAGAGATTGTTGCCATCATGCTGCTACGAAGCCGTGTAACAGCTGCAGTGCATCGTATGCATCCATCCACCTGATTTGGTTGATGGGAAACTGCTGCAATGATGGCCGATGGTGTCGCTGCTGGTGCGAGGGTAGGTATTATGTCGCGGATGGTTTCCGAGCCCTTCCTTGCAGAACATGGCCAACATGCGGAGTCACTGAACGTGACAGCCTGTACAGTCTTGCTCGGATGGAAACCATAGTCACGTCCGAGAATCGGGACTTTGCATCAGAATTTCTCACAGGGAAGCAACCAGAATGTGCTGCCCAGATGGGCTATGGCTAGACTGACACGAATGATCCAACAAGGAGCCAAGGTACGCCCTATCGACGATCTCTCCCAGAGCCACATCAACGAGGCCTTTGAGGGTTTGGGGAAGGTTCCAGCTACATGACATAGAAAAAATACCTGTGGCACTCCTCTTCTTCCTTTAGAAGGCACAACGGGAAGACTCTGGCAACTACCACTCAGCGAAGGCCTCCGGCTTGAGCAGCTTGGAGGCTTGCGAAGCAGCTCGGAGTTCTTGGGCGCCCACTTCGAGTAGCTCGGAGTAGATCGGACCTGCGAAGTAGCTCGGAGTTCCTGAGCTCTCTCTTATAAGACATCTCCAGCCCCCTCTGAAGGCTGTCTACAGCCAGTAGAAATGAAGATTCTTTACATCCAATATTCTCGGGACATGTGCAAACTCTGCAGAATTGCAGCTTTGCAGTAGAGCCGCAAATCTGAACGCCTCAAAAATGCATTTTACAGCGGTTTTGGGTGCTTGCGTGGAAAACCCCAATAATGATCCCTGGCGGTTCAAGGGAAAGAGGAAGAGAGGAAGAGCAGGGGAGAAGGGAGGGAAAAGGAAATGAAAGAAAGGGAAAGGGGAAGGAGAAAGGGAAGGGGAAGGGGAAGGAAGGCCTGTCACAGATGCATTGCAGGAACATTTTTGACGGAACGCTCACCCCTACAAAACCGCTGTAAAATGCCAATGCGAAATCGGTCGCCCTGCAAGTGCTTCCCCCAGTTCCAATTCAATGTGCCCATTCACTCTTCTCGAGCAGTTCAATTTGTTGGCGTTCCTTCAACAACACCACCGCGTCACCGCATCTATCACCGTACACAAAACTCCGGCACCGATGGGGGCTACATGCCGCGAGCTTTCCAAAAAGACAGACATGTTAGATTTACCACGGACTTCTCTTCAGCATTAGCCCAAATCATTTTCCAAACGGGGTCGGCAGTGGTCCATTTTGGGTCATTGAGAGTTGCGGGCCTCGGACTGCAGAGCTTTACAAGAACGTCATTGTCCAGTCACAAAATCCACAGTTCGGAGGACGGGAGGCGGCACAGGCGGCGTGGAATTCAGGGACGGGCATCCGCCCGGCGGTTCTGCACAGTTGCAGGCTACTCGCAGTTGCGGTCCGGCACGGCGGCCAAGAGTAATAATGTAGGATGTAGGCCGCCTGTAGGCCCGTGGGGGGTATTATTGCTGCACGTCCAAAGTCAGCTCAGTCTTATCTATGCTGCAATCTTCTTTCAAAGTCAGCTAGCATATCTCGTGTCAATTACGTAGCAAAGCCACTTAGCATATCTCGTATCGATCTCGCAGCAAAGCGACTCAGCATATCTCGTGTCAATCTCGCGGCAAAGCTTCTCATCATGTTTTCGTGTTAATTACGATGAAAAGTTCTTGTGTCAATTTCTCGTAAAATCCGAAGTGAAAAAATATTCGTGTTAATTACAAGGAAAATCCAAAAAAAGAAATATTCTTGCGTAAAATCCGCAATGAAAAAATATTCGTGTTAATTACAAGGAAATCCAAAAAAAGGAAATAACTGGCCTCAAAACGTTGATTTGGCACAACGAACGGTCTGAAATGAAGAAATTTCGACGCTAGCAATATGAACGCCTTCCCCAGTATCTCCCCACTCCAGATTCGAGCAGTTTTTCATCCATGCTTCAAAACGTTAATTTGGCGCAACGAACGGTCTGAAATGAAGAAAAATCGATGCCAGCAAACGGCCGTGCTCCCAGTATCCCCCCACTCTAGATTCAAGTGTTTTTTTCCATCCATGCTTCGAGGCGATCATTCTTGCAAGTTGATAGGCCTGAAACGAAAAAATCCGTGGCTTGGATTCAGCTCCGTTCTCGAGTATCTCCACACTCCAGACTGGAGCGGTTTCATAGCAGCCATTTTGTTGCAAATTTGGTTCCAATTGTGTTCCAATTGTGTTCCAATTGTGTTCCAATGTTGTTCCAATGTTGTTCCAGTTTTGTTCCAGCTTTTTCCAATTTTGGACCTACGTTTGCAATCGAACTTTTTTCAGCAGTCACCAGCGGCTCCAGCATGCCAGTCTGAAGGCTCCAAAGCCTGTTTGGGGTTTAGGGTTTAGGGATACCGAGACACTTGCAAACCGGCGCTAGTTTGGTCGAGCGAGGAGATGACAAGCATGACAGAGTGACAAGAATGACGGAAATGACAAGGATGACGGAACAAATCGGCATCAAAAGACTGGCAGTCTCCGGGGCCCAGGTAGGTGGGGCCTGTGGAGAAGGGGCAGCGGGGCTACGTGACAAGCGTGACGGGAATGACGGGGGATGGCTTGGAGTTGCATTTTGGAACAAACGGCTGGACTCAGCTCAGAAGGGCATCGGATCGGCACTGTCCCGCAGGCCCCCCGCTCCGGATTGCTGGCTTCTCCTCAACTCCCTGACCTCTCAAACTCAAAAAGCTGGACGTTCAAAATCTACCAAGCGCCTGCTTTGCACATTCCCCTTGCTCCGCGCGCTGTACTCGGCTTCCCTCCAGGTCCCTCGCTCACGAGCCGACGGAGGACCTGACGAAGCGAGTCTGCAAGGCGAGGCTGGGGGCGCAGAGAGTTAAGGCTCAAGTCCATTAGTCGCAGTGGCTTCTTTTTGGCGCGTCATCGACTGTAATGGCGCACGAGACGCAGGCAGCTGAAGAGTTTGTCCAACCCCATGTTCGGAAGGCCTCTCTGCAGTGTACAAGCAGACAAAGCGAACCAAAGATTCTGGAACCTGCTTCTACTGAATTGACTCTCAGCGTGCCATGTAGCGCGCTTGGGCATACAAGGGCCACAAAGGGCCAAAGAAGGATCGCAGGCCAGACCTGTCCATCAGCAAAAGATTCATCCTATCACTGGAACTGTTGCAGTCTCGCTCCACTGTGGAATCCCACTTCTCCTCCAGCACGCTTGTCTTATTCGTAA